TTTTTTTTTTGAATGTCTTTTACTGGCAAAGACAAGGCCCAACGCAACTGCCGGCGCTAAAAAGGTGCGAGGGCCATCAGCCACAATTAGCAGAAAGAACTAGTGAAAAGAAAGAGCAACCTGTTCAGCGTTCATCTGTGTTTGAGCAAGCCTTCGGCTCCCACTTACTTCGCTTCCACCTTCCTTACCACTTTGTTCCAAGGCCCATATTTTACCACGTGTTTTATTACGTTCACGTTTGTCTGCTAGCCGTTTTCGCTGCTGCAGGATTTTGTCTCGTGTTGTACGATATTCTAATGCAAACTCAATGACCATCTTGAAAACAGCCATTGGCTTCAGCGATGGTACTTCCTGAACACTGTAGCCGAAAAACAACAAAAATGCGTGCCACCTGAAGATTTTAGACGGGTTATTAGAAGAATTAGTCACTTTATTCCAGGTAATTAGAAGAATTAGTAATTAGAAGAATAGTCAGATACAACCACCAACTTTCCACTTTATCCTAGTCTGAGTTCATCGTATCTATGTCACTTTATACAAGCATTTAACAGGGATAACTAACTCTTCGGGATGACTAATTCCCACTTCGCTGTCTGCCTTACATAGCACGTTTTATGTGTGACAGTTGTTTTAGTATAGAAAATTCGATTTCTTCGTTTGTTCCGCTGTCTTGATCGTCCGAACCGCCAGTAGCCAGATTTCAAACTTAGGGAGACAAAAGACTTTTCGAGTTTATTATTAACTCTAACTGATTATACGTTTTTATCATGCAGCGTACAGCGCAGCAACAGGCTCTGTCCGTATAGGTGTTTGCATATGTGTGTATGTTTGTGTCTGTGTTCGTCTGTCCTAGTATTTCTACACGGCAACCACGCAAGTTTTGATGCTGAAACTTTGCCAGTGTGTTCTCTGCCCAAATGCGACCCCAGGAACGTGTTACAACTATCACGCACGTTTACGTCTTACAAATGGGCATGTAAAGACATTGACGGAAAAAGTGCTAACTCGAGAACCAGAAAAGCTGGAAAGCTGCAATTTTAATGGAGTGTTCCCTGTCCAAATACAACTTAAAGATTTCAAGTTCAGCTTCCAAGCACGCGTGGCGCTCACACACGGGCCCTTAAACGTTTCGGTGGAAAAATTGCATTGAAGGCTTAAGTCTTTTTTAAAGTAAGACCGCAGACGGAAACTGTTCATTTTGTGCAAAATTAACAATGATTTAAGCTAATAAGCGCACAGGATAGATGTAAAGCAACAAGTATTCATACAGTAACTTGTCTGCTTCAAGTTTAGAGCAAAACGCATGATCACACCGGCAAGCATGATGCGTTCCGGGGGAGAAAACGAAAACTGGGGAGAAAACGAAAGATCTTTTTTCCAGTTCCCAAGCAAAATGTGTTTCATTTGAACAAAAGCTTATAAACCAGCCTATTGAAAGCGATCCTATAGATAGCTTTAAGTTGGTGGATTCGTTGAGCCACGTCATTTAAGTAATCGTTAATTTTCTGCTTCATTGATGATGAAGTGTCATTTTTGCTAATTTTGGCCAGATAATCCCACGATGCTTTACAGTCATGCTCCAGCTTCTTCAGATTTGATTCCAGCTCGTCATAATCGAACTGTAAACATCAGTACATTTTGAAATTTCTGATTACAAACCACAAATTTTATTTTAAGCGGTAGATTCAGTGAATTTCCACATTCCTCATAGCCTACAATGGACAGTTTCTGCAAGTTTCTGTAGTAGTTTCAGTTTCCTCAAGCCTTTG